GTAGAGATTCCAGCAGGAGGACAGTTTTGCAAATTCTATAGATATTAGAAGGATAAAAAGAGAATATGATGAACCACTTTATGCTATTAATTTAAAAACTAGTCAGAAGGAACAAATTCCAACCCTCATGCAAGAATAATTCGACAGGAACATTTAATAATTCTGCAAATCCATAAGGGAGATATACCAATTTCACACAAATTCTTTCATAAAATAAACAGAAGCTCATATATTCTGACTTATTTTCTCAGAACCGTGTTACCCTGTTGCCAGTGCCAAAGTCACTACAGAGAAAAATAACTGCACAGTTTCCTTCATGAATATCTCTAATATTCTTTAAAAATAATACTAAAAATAAAGATATATATAAAGAGGATAATACATTATGACTAAGAGGAGTTTATCATAGGAATGCAAAGTTGTTTTAACATTAAAAAATAATTCATGCAATTTCCTTTATCCACAGACTAAAGCGTAGAATCCATACAATCATCTCAATAGTGCAGAAAAAGCAGTTGTCAAAATTCAGTATCCTTTCGTTTTAGAAACTCTCATTAAAGTAGGAATAAGAAGGAACTTCCTCAAAGAAATAAAGAGGAACTATGTAAACTATAACTAACATCATATGCATTCAATGTTGAAAGTCTGAATGTTATCCTATAAGACTGAAACAAAGGAAAGGCATTCACTTCAATAATTCTATTCACTTTGTACTAGGTTCTAGTTGGTACAATAAGGCAAGAAAAATAAATGTCTTCTAGATTAATTAGCAAGAAATAAAACTCTTTATTATGATATGACATGGTAACCTATGAAGAAAGTCTTAAAGAATCTTCAAAGTTGGCCTGGCGTGGGGGCTCACGCCTGTAATCCCAGGACTTTGGGAGGCCGAGGTGAGTGGATCACGAGGTCAAGAGATCGAGACCATCCTGCCCAACATGGTGAAACGCTGTCTCTACTAAAAAATACAAAAATTAGCTGGGCGTAGTGGTGCGCGCCTGTAGTCACAGCTACTTGGGAGGCTGAGGCAGAAGCACTGCTTGAACCCAGGAGGTAGAGGTTGCAGTGAGCCGAGCTCACTCCATTGCACTCCAGCCTGGCACCTGGTGATAAAGACTCTGTCTCAAAAAAAAAAAAAAAAAAAAAAGAGAAAAAGAATCTGCAAAGTCATCTGCTAGAATTAAGGTGTTAGTTCATTTTTAAGAATGTTGGTGGGCAGTAATGTAAAATAGTTTGCATTTTTCCATTAGGTAATAAAAAATATTGAAATCTACAATAGTATTTTTCTGCTTATTGTTCCAAAATAAGAGAGGTTTGTTGTATATTCCCTAGGTAATTTATTTTTATAGTCACACAAATTTTTGCTTTATACATTTAAGGCTATTATATTTTATAAAATGAAAAGCTAGAATTGTTATATCCTCATATTGAATTAAAATTATATCATTTTGAAGAAAGCCTCTGCAATCATATTAATACTTTTACTGTGTGTTATATTTTGTCTGATATTAATATAGCTTCATCAACTTTTACATCCAATTCTTTTTAGTCTTGCTAATTTCAAATTTCTATTTCTTTACATTTTGTGATTTAATAATTTATCTCTTCTAACCAGATTAAATCCACTGAAATATATTTCATTGCAGTTGTGGGTATACAATACACACATATTTCTAGTGATTTATTTTCTACTTCTATCTAGTGAGTTTTTTTTTTTCTCCAACAATGGCACTAGTGCTGGGCTCTGATAAAATAACGTTTGTGCTCTTATTGCTTTTGGAATGTCATGGTTTTATGGTTTGTAGGCCAATGGAAGGTGCTAAGAGAGATGTATTTAAAAATCCTGATACTGCCAATTCAAGTTAAACCTTATACATCCTATAAAATCAAAAGTTAAGTTTATCCTGCTAAGGGAAGGGGGGAAAAATTTTGCCTTTAAATGCCTATAATTATAATGTTTTACATAGTCAGAAGATAAAATTTTAAAAAGAGAAGCAAATGCAAATCCTAAAGCTGAAAACAAATAGAAACAATGGCTTTTTATTTCATACTTTATTTCTATTCTTATACCGAAAATTTGATTCCTTGTAAATTAACATACTGTTTAATTTTCTATGTTCTTCAACATGTATTTTTATTTCCTGGTCAAACTCGATCTGCAAAACATATAATGGTTTTAAAATGGAATATGATGATGTTATTACTAACAAAAATAAAATTACTGATTGCTGCTTAAGATTTTTTAGTTATTTGGCCTCAAAACATATTTCTCCTAGAATGTAAAGTTCCCAGTTTTGTTTTCAAAAGTAACCTGAAAAATTTTATTTACAAGTTTTGTTACTAGTTTGATATACTACTATGCTAGATTTACAATTGTTTTTATTTGTTTTCAGTTTTAGGATTTGAATTTACTTCTCTTTTTCAAATTTTATTTTCTGACTATGTAAAACATTTATAGGCTTTAAAAGGCAAAATTGTTCTCCCCTTCCCTTAGCAGACGAAAGCTCCAGCACACAGACTTCACTTAACCCCCAGGGCGAAACGCGGCTGAGATGTGCCTACTTCTTGTTCCAAGTATTCTCACTTTTTGACTTGAACAGCATTCCTTAAAAAATTCTTATAGCCTCATTTCACTTTTAAAAAAGGTATTATTTAATAATAGTCCACTGAGAATTTTCAAATATCATATTACAGGCGGCTTTCAGGGTCTCTAGGCCACCAATCGCCAGAATCAGATCTTTCCGAACCATGTCATATTCATCTCCAGTCTCAGAATCTAGAACAAACAATATACTGCTTAGTTTTTGGTAGTTATTAAATGAAGAAGCAAATTGATTCCTCTGTAATTCCATATTTTTTAATTAACAAAGAGACCAATATTTCTCAACAATGATGCTGCTGACATTTGAGGCCAATTAATTATTTGTCATAGGGACCTATCTTTAGCGCAACCAGATGTTTAGCATCATTGTGGCCTTTGACTACTAGGTGTCCATAGCCACCCTCCCCCTCACCCCGTAATCATGGTATTCAAAAGTGTCTCCAGATATGGTTAAATACTCCCTTGCAGATGGGGGGGGATTACTCACAATTTGGAACCACTAATGTTTGACAATATGAGAAGACATTTTACTATGTTGATAAAAATGATATTCTTGTCCTTTGAATATAAGAGTTTTAGCCAACATGGTTGAACTTTGTGGTGAAAATGAAATTACTTGCAATTATTTCTTCCCTTGCTTGACTGTCTCCTTGACATTCTTTTAAGGAGCAGCTATGCCAGAGAAAGGTATTCCTCTAAATCCCTTTGTAGTGATAAAAACAGGCCAATGGACATTAGGGGTATGTGTGTGTGTGTGTGTGTGTGTGTATGTGTGCACATGTATGCGTGTGAAATATACTTTCCTCTGTGTGGCTGCAACAAAGCCAATTAATGTAGGAAGCTTTCCTGCCCAGATTCTGCCCTATCTTTCCATGCCCTTTCTTCTCTGTCACCATCACCCAGTCACCTACCTGGTCTCTACCAGGACAAGTTGACCATTGCACTAATGCACATAAGAAATTTAGTGTCAGTCCTGGATAAAGCAGTAGGCCCACTCATGTGGCATGGATTTTTGAGTCCTGGTGACAAAGGAAATTAAAACTCTTGCTGTGAAAGGCAGATGAGCTCTATTGGTGAGATTTATATAGTTAACTAGTGCAGCTTTTATTTGTTCTGCCAAAATATTCACTGTTTTTCTCCACTCCATGTATCACTCTGTTTACGCTGACAGATATTTTTAAACCCATAAATTATTTAAGGACAAGAGAAGCATTATTAAGGATATGTCAAAATAAAGGCTTTTAGGGAAGATGCTTCATTCAGAGAAGAGCTGAGGAGAAATGTATAAGACAAGAACACCTGCTCTTATTAGACTGATTAGCAAAGCACTATGCTTGTTTCAACCAACAAACATCTGTTGAGAATAAATTTTGTGTTTAGGAAGACCAATGGGACAGAAGACATGCCCCTCCAGTAGTTTATTAATAGGATGATCAAACTGGGGCATTTTTGAGAGTGAAAGGTGCTATTAATAAATTCATGGGATAAGAGGCATGACAAAGAACCAGCTGACTCCAAACCAAGATGAATTGGCTTCAAATTTTACCATAGTAGTTGGGGAGTTAAGATACATGATCAGCTAGATTTTCATGATCTTCTACTTAGATGTATTACAAGTGAAACACTGAATTATTGAAGAAGGCTAGAAAAGTGCTGAATTATTGTATGCTGGGTACAAGGGGTGGAAGGAGGAGACAAAATTTGTAAAACACTCTCAGAGGACCAACTGACATCGTTTAAGCACTAAACATGTGTTATCCATGCAAAACAGAGCATGTTCTCACACTGCCTCCTAGAATGTTACAACTTTCTAAGGGAAGTAATTTTATGCAAATCACATGCTGTAACTTAGTGGTATATTGATGGTATTGTCATTTAAGGCTAGATCCATTCATTTCAAAGCTAATTATTGAGTATATCCCAGGCACCATCAGCTGAGGACTCAAAGAAAGTGCCTCTCTTCAGGAAGTTTACCATCTGTAGGAGATGCTTGCAGTACAGTGAGTGTTGCCTTTAAGGGATATTTTAGAATCTGTTTTGGAAAAGGGAATAATTATTATGTGCATTGCATTTTAAAGACCTAAAGAAAGTGAACGTTTTACCTGATTTCTGAAATTTGTGCTTTTTATCCACAAGCTGGGAATCCAGAAGTATTTATAGCTGCTATTTAATGGCATTTCTTGGTAAATATGTATGTATTTGAGAAGTATATATGGATTTCTACCTATGTTATTTAATCCTCATAATACCATTGAAAGCATGTGTTGCTATCTCATTTTACAGATGATGATACCAAGATTTTAAGTGGCAGTGGCAATTTTGAATTACAGAATGAAGAAGAGCTGGAATTATGCACTGGACTTATGTAAAACATTTCCCTCAAATTCACCATTTTCAGCTCTATGATGGACAATGGACAATAGACTAAGGGTGGCTTCGTGGCAGTGTCAGAGGAGGCTCTTGGGCAGGTCAGCAATGCCAATCCCAACATCAAGACAACTGCTCTGTCAGAGCGCAGGTGGTAGTCCCATTGTCTATATATTCTATTTTATGAAAAATAGTAAATTATGTTTATTTTAAAGACAAAAACCTTGCTGGGTTTTTTTTGTTTGTTTGTTTTAGACAAACAAAATGCAGAGACCAGATTGAATCCACTGTTTTCCTGTCCATTGTTTGCAACATGAAGTAGAAAAAGAGCCAGCATGATCCTGTTTATTTTGAGCACCAAGAGACTCTATTCTTCCACATTCTCTCACTTTTAATGACATATGCATATGACGCTATAATGTCTTAAAATGGAAAGAATAGGAAAAATGCTGTGTGGTCTCTATTCCTAACAGCAACACTGTAAATGAGCTGTGATCTAGGTGCATGTTAATAACAATACAGAGATTAGATAGGAAATGGGAGAAATTATTTAACCAATATGCTTTGGGTGGCCTAAGGAGAAGACTGAAAATGACTTTGTGGCCCAGGCAGAAAAGCAAAATGGCAGACACAAGAGGGCACAAGGAGGAGTCATCAAGTTCTCCTTATAAGGGATTTTGGTGGCATCAGCACCTTGAGTAGAGAAATGGGTAGAGTAAAACATCTGTCCTGTCTTTCCTGCCTATGCAGTGCCACTGAGTAACCAAAGAACAGACGAAAGGGTTTCTCTTTTTGCTTTCTCTTGTGAATGCACGGAGGTCTAATGCCTTAATTAATGGAACTAGGTATTGCCCATCAATGTAGCTAATATCATTGAATGAGATGCAACAATGGTATTTTTTCCCAGTACAAGAACACCACCGCTTACTCCTGTGCTGAAAGTCTGGTAAGTAAGACCTGGCAAAAGCTGCACAGGGATTTGTCAGGTAAAGTAGGGATCGAGGTCACCTGCCTGGCTGTGGAAGCTCTGATCCTGGATCTATTCTCCTGATTTTAGATGCAGTCCACTTTCCTCCCCAATGCTTTTCCACCTCGTGGTTATTGTACCTCCCCTTTGCTCTGAAGTCCCAGTGGTGATAGTTAGTGTTCTATAAAAGCTGTGAACCAGAATAACAGTAATGTGGTTGTACATAGGAGAAAAAGGGGCTTATCCCTTTCCCCAGCCATATCCTTCCAGCCTGTGTAACCTGCTGAGGTTGCAGTGGGCCCTCTGTTTCCTCTGGCCTTGACAGTCTCTTTTTATTAACTGGCTTAGGTTTTGTGTTTCTAAGAGATGTTGAGGCATCAATTGTTTCTTCTCCTATGGAGCAACTGTGATTTATTTTAGTGAAAAGTCTCAACTCTAGAAAGAAACCAAAGGATGTTAGTGTCCCCATTGCTGAGGAATAGGCCATTTTCTTGAAAGTCCGTGATTAAATAAGTGTCATTACATTTAGAACAAAATTTATTTATTAGAGCAGTTGAATGCCATGACCAAGAGCTATTTCTTGGCTGGAGCTTCTGGGCAGATGGAGCAGACAAAAACATGGGGAAGACTCAGGTGCTGACATTCTCTAGTCAAACTCTTATGACTTTTTTATTTGTTCAGAGAATATCCTCTTACCTTCACACTTGGGTTTGAATGGTTGGAGTTGACTAAAATATAAATTGACCAAGCTGTCCTGGTGTAACAGATGAGTCTGTGTAAACTAGCTGTTAATAGGTTCTTACTGAAGGGAATGTTATGTCATGGCTGAAAGCACATGCTTTGGTAAAAACTGTGCTTAAATCTTAGATCCATAATTTTCTAGCTGTGTAATCTTAAGATAAGGTACCAATCCTGCTTATTCCTCAGTTTCCCTGCGTATAAAATAAAGGTGGTAAAAGCATTTATTTCATGGATCTTCATCAGACAAGAATTAAATTAGTGAAAAACTATGAGGCCTTAGAATACTGCCTCATATCCAATAAGCAGTAAATCAATGTTAGTGATTATTAGATCTCTAATTGCGTTGAACCTGCTCAAATCATCTGTTGCCGAGAATCCTCTCTTGATTACTTTCTTTCACAACCATTACTCTTCTCGGTGCCATAGAAAGGTGAGAATATTAGAAACAGACAATCCTGGCTTTATTTACATATAGTGACATTTACAAACCAGGTAACTTGGGCAAGATATGTATTAATAAGTCCTTTAAACACTTTTTCTTATATCTGCAACACCATGGATCAAATCACACTGACCTGTTAAGTTGCTGTGATAATTAAATAAGATAATGAGATAGTGTTTAGTAGAATCTGGGAGACTAGATTTCAGTAAAAATGAATAGCCTCTTCTATTGGAGAACTTGCAATCTGCCTTTTTACTTCTGAGGTATTGACCTTACTTCTATGGCTTTGCACTGCTGTCCAACAATCATTCCACATTCAAATGGTTGATGCTACCTTCTTGATTCCTTATGGGCTTCTGATACATAGACCAGAATTCCTGTTGCTTTGAGTAACTTACAGGGACTGCCAAAGGGTAAGAAACTGATTTCCTTAATGCATTCACCATCCAACAAATATTTATTAGATGGCAACTGTGTATCAGCACCACAAGGGAAAGATATGAGATCTATCAATCCAGACAGACTTTCTGCTGTAATGGGTCTTGCAGTCTTATGATGGAAATATATTGAATTCATAATTACACATATGATCATTAAATCAATGCAGTGGGAATTACTATTTTTGGAATTTACCCCAGAAATACTTTTGATGGAATATTCAACCTTAAATTCTTAAGAACATATGGGTTTTATTATCTACTGTTTCTGGAATTATCAATTAGAAGATGTTATTGGAAGGCTGGTGTTGTCTCACTTAAGAAAATTAGCTGTTTGATGAAGTAACAGACTTGCCATCTCTGGAAGGGTTCACAATGGTCTCATGGAATGTTACTATTTCCTTGGATTTTATAAACCTCATAGTATGCATTTGTAGTGAATTAAGAATCTTGCTATAAACTCAAGGTTTATGTCTACTCAAAATTCTTATGTTGAAATCTAATCCTCAGTGTGGAGATATTTGAAGATAGGGCCTTTTGGAGCCGACTAGGTCATGAAGACGAGGCCCTTGTGAATGAGATTAAGGTCCTTATAGAAAAAAAACTGCAAATATCTTCTTCACCCCTTCCACCATGGAAGGCACAGGAAAAAAATGGCCATCTGTGAACAAAGAAGTTGGCCCATACCAGATGATGAATCTGCCAGCTCCTTAACCTTGCACTTCCCAGTCTCTAAAACTGTGAGAAATAAATTTTTGTTGTTTGTAAGCCACCCAGTCTATGACATTCTGTTTTAGCAGCCTGGAAGAACTAAAAAGAAAAAAAATTTAAACTGGACAGCGTCTCTGGAATACTGATTCTCCAAACAAAGGAAATATGTGCATTTGGCAGACAGTGTCGCTAAACAGTTACAATAAGTTGACAGACTTGATTTTGGCAACTGAATTCATTGATTATCTGACTCACACTACAGGTTAACAGTTCAGGTAAGTGGGGGTCCTATTACCTATGATAAAAAGCTTGCAGGTGTCTTTGAACCAACAAGTTTTATGCCTAAATTGAATTTTGTCAAAAGTTTAAAATAATTTCATTGTAAAAATATATTCTGACAAAACTTGTAAGGCTCCCTTTCCTTCTCAGAATAAAGTTCGTTTTGGTTAATATTGCACCTATTGTGAGGCAATGAGATCAAGGGAATTTCCACTGCATCTAAGAACAGGATGTGTGTCAGGCATTGTGAGACCACATTGGGTGGCTGAGTGGGGCTGAAGCTATCTTATCTATATTTTTGGGGGGTGCGGCAGTTAAAAGCTTGCTGAATAAAAAAGAGACATGACCCCGTGGAACTAGGAAATTGAGTAAGTGAAAGTGAAGAAGTGTTTTCCCTTTCTTTTATGCCTACTTCTCTCTGTACTCCTGCTGACTGACTTTCCTATGACTCAGTGAAGGTGGCAGGAGACATCTGCCCCACAGCTTTGTGGTTTTGTAGCTTTTAAGTTCCAGACATCAGGCTGTGCTGTGATTAAAATCTCTAGCCACATGCACACTTAGGTTGGTTGTAGCACTGTTTACAGTAGAAAAGACTTGGAACCAACCCAAATGTCCATCAATGATAGACTGGATAAAGAAAACGTGGCACATGTACACCATGGAATACTATGCAGCCATAAAAAGGGATGAGTTCATGTCCTTTGCAGGGACATGGATGAATCTGGAAACTGTCATTCTCGGCAAACTGACACGAGAACATAAAATCAAACACCACATGTTCTCACTCATAAGTGGGTGTTGAACAAAGAAAACACATGGACAGAGGGAGGGGAACATCACATACGGGGTCTGTTGGGGGATGAGGGGCTGGGGAGGCATAGCAGAGGGTGGGGGGATTGGGGAGGGATAACATGGGAAGAAATACCTAAGGTAAGTGACGGAGGATGGAGGCATCAAACCACCTTGGCATGTATATACCTATGTAACAATCCTGCAAGATCTGCACATGTACTCCAGAATTATATATATATATATATATATATATATATATACCTATATAAAGAGATCTATAGCCAAAATTCCAAATGCTTAAAAAGGGACTGGGATCTCTCTAGGTAGTGTTAGGTGTCTGTCCATAGTCTAGTCAACCTTGGCCATTAGAACGTGACCATCTATGTGTCTTGACTGTAGGGAGCCCACTTGTATAATCGGGGTAGATAGTTCTAAGGGAAATAGAATGTCTTTGACCCACAGCCTTGGAGAACACCTGAAAAGATGTCTACTGCTTTATCCATTTTAAGTTTAAGAATAATTGCACCAAGAGAATAGATCTTAAGTGTTTTATCGCAAAAAATAAGTATGTGAGATGATGCATAGTTGATTAGCTCTATATTACCATTCCGCAATGTATATATATTTCAAAACATGATGTTGTATACAATAAATATACACAATTTTTATGTGTCAAATGAAAAGAAATAAACAAGTAAATACATAAGGATTGAAAGGAGAAATTTATATTCTAAGTAAAAAATATGCATTGCAAATAAGTCTTGCTCAACACCACAGATAATCAAAACAAAACATAATGAAAATTAATCTTTATTTTGCCTGAGCATAAAATATAATTAAACTACTCCTCAAATTAATAAGCTTAATCTGTCTTCATTGAACACCCATCTGCATGCCTTCCAGCATTCTTATGATTAAAGATGAAGTCAACCTGAATTGCCACAAGGAATGTTGTGAGGTAGGAATTATCCTTTAGACTTTCAGGCAAAAGTGGCTAAATCATCCCCCTAAGGGATCGTCTCTGATACCTGAGGCACACTCAAAGCCCCAGAGTTCCTAAAGAATGAGTCCTGAGTGATCTGCACATGTACCCCAGAACCTAAAGTACAATAACAAAAAAGAATGAGGAGTCCAACATAGAACCAAGTTAGTAAGGAGCAAAGTCACCTCTTATTCATCGGAACTTAGTGAATGGTACAATCTCACTCAACCTGTCCCAATGCCCTAAGCTCTGCAGTTCCTGTTAACTCTCCCCTGATTCCAATTTGCTTTATCTACCTTTTAATGCTTCTAAAATCTCTGTGGCTACTCTTCACATATCTTGGCAGTTACTGAAAAATAATTTTTATAAATAATTCATTTTTTAGTGAACAAACATTCTAAAATACATACATTTTGGGTTGTCTCTGGAATAAGAAAATAGAAAAGACATAGTTTCTGCATAGAAGAAGCTCTCCTGGGCTTTCTTCTGATCAACCTTGTACTAATTATCATTATAATTATTACTGATTCCTTGCTAAGGAGGAAGTTTTGGAATCTATTGGTGAGGCCCAGCTGGAGTGGGTGCTACATTGGTTTGATCAGATTTATTTTGGGTAGGGATCGATAGCTCTTAAAATTTAAGTATAACCCTTGTAGTTTCTCCAGTGTCTTAGAGTTGCGTGTGTGCAAGGTACATGCATGTTTGGTTTGGGTTGATATTAGAATATGGAGCTCTGCTTTCACCAAATACTAGATGTATTTATTTTACTTATTCTCACCAACCTGCTGTTCTTGATAAGGACTCCTCAGGCACAATCAGGTATAAAATAAAGTACAAAGGCATTTGTGATATTTTGTGATACATGTTTTCTAAGATAAGAATACAAATTCATGGTAAATGGAAGACATTTATTTGAAATTTTGACTAATTTAGAAAGTAGAGGAAATCAGGCCAGGCATCCCTCAGCCTTTTGCCTCCTACCCTGTTAAACTCATCTGCACGTGCACACGGCCCTCATTCTCTTTCTCCTCCCTCATGTGAAGAGTCCCTGTCTGTGCTCTGTAATGTGCTTCTGGAAGACTTGACTAGATCCAAGTTAAATATACAAATTTACATCTGATTAAATACACAAATATAATATACACAGCCAATAACATACACAAATCTCTTCTGTCTTAAAAAAAATAAGACAGGTTTCCCAATTTCTCCTGCAATTCAGCACCTGCACAAGACATGGCTCCATCTCTTCTCTTTTCTCACTGTCACCCCCTCTCTTCCTGTTCACTCTTTAGTTAACTTTAATGCAGCTTTCAAGTCCTCCCAGTCTGGCTATAACAGTTCATACCAAGGTCAGCAATAACCTTGGAATTGCCCAAAGACTTTTCTTTCACCTTCTTGCACTTGCTGCTGTCCTTGGTACTTTTAAACCACACTAGTAGTTACAAACTTGTCTCCTTCCTTGACTCCTGGCACCACCTATTTCAGGTTCTTCCCTGCTGTTGGTCTCACAGAGATGTTCTGTGTGACTTCCTCCTCACTTGGCATTCTCACTACTCCTGTCACTTAATGTCTCCCAAATCTCTATCTCCAGCCCCCATTTCCCATCTGAGCACCAGCCACATGACCACCTCTGTACTGAATATCTAGACTTCCCAACCTGGATACCCCAGGGGCATCTCAAATCAACATGTCTGGCCTGGATTCAGCCATCTCCACATTGCCCTACATCAACCTACTTCTCCTGCATTCCGTAACTCGGCGAATAACAGATACCAGCCTGCATCCAGCTGCCCAGCCCAAAACATCAGTCACTCATAACCCCTTCAAGCTCACCTCAAACATCTAGTCAGGCACCAAATTTTACCTTCAAATGTCCCTGTGATTTATTGCAGCTATCAGAAATCTCTTGCCTGGATTATATAAACAACACTTCGATGTCTCATTTCACTGATTCCAGCCTTTGCCCTCATATCCTTCCAACTGCACTGAAGCCGAGGTAATCTTTCTGAAACACAAATGTGGTAATGCCAATTTCCTGCTTAAAATTCTTGAAAAGCTCTCAGGCAGGCAGAGTTAAGTCCGTGCTCCCTAACATAGCATGCACAGCCATAATCCGTCTTTTGCTTGTCTTTCCAACCACATTTCCTGCCAGCCCTTCCATGCTCAGCTGTTCACTCTGTGATTTGCAAGAAGGCAAATGTTATTATTTTTTTACTTATCCCCATCTTACCAGTCCATAAGAGTTCTATTTTCCTATTACAGATTTGCCAAAAGTTATGTGGCAACCTCAATCCCCAGTAATATAATCAATCTACAATTTGCTTCAGTTTGAAAAGATCTCTGCTTTTGATGTCTTTGGTTACTTCCACTTGTCTAGTCTCCACTGCCCTGAAGGGGGTTCAGAGCCTGGAGTCCCAGCAGTGATGAGACAGGCGAGTTCTCCACCTGGTAGACACCTAGTAGTTGTCATCCATTTCTTCCTTTGTCTGCCCCTGTTTTCTAGTTTCTGCAGAACTGGAAGACTGATTTCTGGGCATCTGGTGATTGGTCAGTCCAAGTCCAAAGTGGTCACTCTTCATGGATTTGCATAAGTAAACATCAACATTTCAGGCTAACGTTACTCTGCAAATGCCAATCTCTGTGCACAAAATTTTTTCCCAGCCCCTATGTTCTTCCCGACCACGACCCAACTCGCACCTGGTGAAATCTCACTCTGGCTTCCAGATCCAGCTCCTCTACCTCCTCCTCTGAGCATCCTTCCCTCACGCTCACCTTTCTCCAGTGCAGTTCATCCTCTGCAGGGTACACAGAACCACATACATCCGTCTAACGTTGTGATTACCCTGCTGCATGCGAAAAGCCTCCCTGCTATCTGCTTCTCTCTCTTGCACTTGATGAAATAATTCAGGGGTGGTCACAGTCTCAGTCACCTCTGTTTTCAGTATCAAGCCTGGTGCTGAACAATTGCTCAGTAAATGTCCAACAAATGAACAGTGGGTACCTACTTGGGAAAACATAATAAAACATATGTGTCCTATCACCTAACTTTATTTACAAAGGAATTTTAAATAGAATCACAAAGCATCAGAATAGGAAGGAAACCATGAAGTTACCAGAGGGTGGTGGTAACTGTTTCCCAGTGAAAACCCCCAAATAGATTTATGTGGGCAAACGAGAAGGAACCTTGGAAAGATTCCACTGGAAGGCATTTTGATTTCCCAGAGTGGGTTGGCCCCTGTAATGCAAACACAGATCTGATCATGAGCTCTGAGCCAAGCAGCCTTGCTCTTTTTGAAGCTCCTCCTGCTAGGATTCCTTGGGCTCTTCAAGGGGAGCTCCTAGGCTAGGGTAACAGGGGTTTCTCCCACTAGACCTGGTGGAATATTATGGAATACTGTAGAGTGTCTCTGTTCCCTTCACACTCCTTCACACCCCTTCACTCCCCACTCACCTCCCCATCCACTCCACCTCTGCCCCTGTGGACTGATTTCCTGGAACTCTGGTTCTGCAGAAGTCTCTCCTCCTGATTCAGGTTCAAGGCCAGTCTCCAGTCCTGCGTCACCATCATTCTCCATGCCGCAGGAGTCCCCTCCACTTCCAGACTCTGAGTTGGTGGCTGAGCACTCCATGCTTAGCTGCGCCAAGCACAATGCTGTGCAGGGGCATATCCCTCTTCACTCTCTGGCAACCCCTGGATGCATCTGTCCTTTCAGGATTTTATTTCTGACAGTCTACCTCCAGCTGGCTCCTTTTCACTAGT